GAGGAAGTCAGATTCAAGTGGGAGCCATGGCCGCAGATGAAGGGAAAATAAGACTTGAGAAATCTGATGGAACAGATTTTGGATTCTGGAAAATGCAGATAGAGGATTATCTGTACCAGAAAAATCTGTATCAACCACTATCGGGGAAGAAGCCGGATTCTATGAAGGAAGAAGAGTGGAACCTTCTAGATAGACAAGCCCTCGGAGTTATCAGATTGACGTTGACTCGCAATGTTGCGTTCAACATAGCGAAGGAGAAGACCACGGCAGGTCTTATGGCAGCACTCTCAAATCTTCCCTACCAGAGAGTTGGAATGCTACAGTCACAGCTGTGAGTAGCTCGTCGGGAAAGAAAAAGTTGAAGTTCGGCGACGTTCGTGATTTGGTTCTCAGTGAGGAGATCCGACGGCGAGAGACTGGTGAAGCTACAACCTCTTCAGTATTGCATACAGAGTCAAGAGGTAGAAATTCAACCAGAGGAAACGGACGAGGAAAATCAAACTTCAGAGGTAGATCAAAGGACAGGAGGTCCAAATCAAGGAATCCAAGCAACAGCTCGAAGGCTATCGAGTGTTGGAATTGTGGAAAGACCGGGCATTACAAGAATCAGTGCAAGAGTGCACAGAAGGAGAAGGAGGCGAAGGCAGAGGTGAATGTCACCTCCACTTCAGGAGGAGACGACGCATTGATATGCTCTTTGGAGAGCAAGGAGGAATCTTGGGTGTTAGATTCAGGAGCGTCATTCCATGCCACTTCTCATAAAGAATTCTTCGAGAAGTATATTCCCGAAAATCTTGGATATGTATATCTTGTTGATGATCAACCGTGTGCTATTGTGGGTAAAGGTGTGGTGAAAATTAAGTTGAACGGGTCAGTATGGGAGCTGAAGGATGTCAGGCATATTCCCGACCTGAGAAAGAATTTAATATCCGTAGGCCAGTTGGCTGGCGAAGGATATACCACGACCTTCCATGGAGATGATTGGAAGATCTCAAAGGGCGCAATGACGATTGCCCGAGGCAAGAAGACTGGTACCCTATATATGACAGCAGGTGCACGTTGTTTGATCTCAGTTGCAGCAGGCAATGAGACTTCAAAGCTGTGGCACCAGAGACTCGGTCATATGAGTGAAAAGGGGATGAAGATCATGCACACAAAGGGAAAACTCTTAGGACTACAGTCAGTGGAGATGGATATGTGTGAAGAATGCATACTCGAAAAGCAGAAGAGAGTCAGCTTTCAGACGAGTGGCAGAACCCCCAAGAAAGAGAAGCTAGAGCTCGTTCACTCAGATGTGTGGGGACCAACCACCACCGCGTCCATTGGTGGAAAATACTACTTCGTGACTTTTATCGATGATCACTCTCGGAAAGTGTGGGTCTACTTTCTGAAGCATAAGTCAGAAGTATTTGAGGCTTTCAGGAGATGAAAAACTATGGTCGAAAATGAGACCGGTCTGAGAATAAAGAAGCTCAGGACCGACAATGGCGGTGAGTATGAAGACACCGGATTCAAGAAGTTCTGCTATGAGCACGGGCTCAGAATGGAGAGAACCTTGTCCGGCACGCCTCAGCAAAATGGTGTAGCTGAGCGGATGAACCGAACGCTGACAGAGAGAGCCAGAAGCATTCGAGTACAGTCAGGCCTACCGAAGCAGTTCTGGGCAAAAGCGGTCAACACAGCAGCTTACTTGATCAACCGAGGTCCATCGGTTCCATTGGAGCACAGAATACCAGAGGAGGTATGGTGCGGAAAGGAGGTAAAACTCTCACATCTTAAAGTTTTCGGTTGTGTAGCTTACGTGCATATTAGTGATCAAGGCAGGAATAAGCTTGATCCCAAGTCAAAGAAATGCACTTTCATCGGCTATGGTGAAGATGAGTTCGGCTACCGCATTTGGGACAACAAAAACAAGAAGGTGATCAGGAGCAGAGATGTGATATTCAACGAGAAGGTGATGTACAAGGACATGCACAAGACAGATGACTCAGAGAGCGAGTCAATATTTGTAGATGCAGATGATGTCCCGAGTAACCTCTCGGAAGAACCCAATGCAGAGCGTCCTCAGCAAGAAGAGCCTGTTGGACAAGATGGTGCGCAGGAGCCCGACGCACCAGCTCCGATATTAAGAAGATCTTCTCGTCCTCCTGTACCCAACAGGAGATACATGAACTATCTGTTGTTGACAGATGGTGGGGAGCCTGAAAGCTTTGATGAAGCTTGTCAGTGTGGAGATGCGAGCAAGTGGGAGCTTGCAATGAAAGATGAGATGAAGTCTCTCATATCAAACCAGACGTGAGAACTAGCTGAGTTGCCCACGGGTAAGAAGGCACTCCACAACAAATGGGTGTACCGGGTGAAAGAGGAGCAAGATGGTTCCAGAAGATATAAGGCCCGGCTAGTTGTCAAAGGTTTCCAGCAGAAGGAAGGAATTGACTACACCGATATTTTCGCTCCCGTGGTGAAGCTAAATACTATCAGGACCGTGATGAGTATTGTAACAATTGAAGATCTTCATCTCGAGCAGTTAGACGTGAAGACGGCGTTTCTTCACGGAGATCTAGAAGAGGAGATATACATGCACCAGCCAGAAGGTTTCTCAGAAGAAAAGAAGAAAAAGAACCTGGTGTGCAGACTCAAGAAGAGCTTGTATGGCCTGAAACAAGCCCCAAGACAGTGGTACAGAAAGTTTGACGGCTTCATGCACAAGGAAGGTTTCCAGAAGTGCAACGCCGACCACTGTTGCTACTTCAAAAGATATCAGTCCAGCTATATCATCCTACTGCTGTATGTTGATGATATGTTGGTTGCAGGAGCAGATATGGAGGATATCAAGAGTTTGAAGCAGCAGCTGTCAAAGGAGTTTGACATGAAGGACTTGGGTCCAGCGAAGAAGATCCTTGGAATGCAAATCACGAGAGATAAGAAGAGAGGTCTCTTGCAGTTATCTCAGACGGAGTACATCAACCGTGTTTTGCAGAGATTCAACATGGGCGATGCCAAGCCTGTGAGCACACCCTTGGCCAGCCATTTTCGTTTATCGAAGGATCAGTCTCCTCAGTCAGAAGAAGAGAAAGAGAGTATGGCTCAGGTACCTTACGCCTCAGCTATCGGAAGCTTGATGTACGCAATGGTCTGTACGAGACCAGACATTGGCCATGCAGTGGGAGTGGTCAGCCGGTTTATGTCGAATCCAGGAAAAGCTCATTGGGAAGCGGTCAAGTGGATTCTGAGATATCTACGAGGCACCACACAGAAGTGTTTGCACTTTGGTAAGGGAGAGGTAGAAGTGCAAGGGTACGTAGATGCAGACTTCGGCGGCGAAGTTGATCACCGAAGAAGCACCACCGGCTATGTATTCACCGTTGGAACTACAGCTGTTAGTTGGATGTCACAGGTACAGAAGATCGTTACCCTATCCACTACAGAAGCTGAGTACGTTGCAGTGACTGAAGCCAGTAAAGAGATGATATGGCTTCAAGGTTTGTTGACAGAGCTGGGATTCAAACAGGAGAAGAATGTTTTGCACAGTGATAGCCAGAGTGCGATACACTTGGCGAAGAATTCAGCATTTCATTCTAGAACGAAGCATATTGCGCTTCGGTACCACTTCATCAGATCCCTGTTGGAAGATGACGTGTTGAAACTGGAAAAGATTCCAGGAAGTAAGAATCCAGCAGACATGTTAACAAAGACGGTGACAGTTCAGAAACTGGAGTTGTGCGCAACTTCAGTTGGCCTTCATGCATAGATGATGAGGGCGGAGCCACACAGGAGAGGAGCGTGATGAGATAGCCCGTCGGCGTCGGTTTGGTCTCCAAGTGGGAGATTGTTAGAATTGGGGGTGGAAACCAACCTCCGCCGGCGACGAGGAGCTCCGACGAGCTCGGAGATGACGCTGGCGAAGTCGACGGCGAACCCCCCAGGCGAGCTCGAGCCCCGCAAGTCGAAGACGCGACCCTCGAGCGAAACGCGACGCTGGCGAACGCCCACCTGACCCGCGCGTCCAAGCTCGTCGACCCGCGCGTTTGGGAGATGCCGACCCCCGCGTTCTTGGCGACGCTCGCGTCCCACTTGTGCGCTGGTGACAGGCTGTCGCCAGCCCCCATCGGATCCGCCTATAAAAGCCCCTTTGCGATGCCCTAGCCGAATGCTTTTTCCCCCTTTTTCGTTTTTCTCTGGCGACGACCAAAATGCAGAAGCGTTTTCTTTTTTCCAGCACTTGGGACTTTAGATCTTGAGGGGAATTTAAAACAGAGAGAGAGAAATTAATTAAGGGTTCTTTATTCCTTTTGAAAGGGGTATTCTCAAGAGAGAAATTGAAAGGGTTTATTCCCTTTAATTATTAACACTGTAGCTACAGTGTTTATTTGAGAAATCTCAGTTTGAGATTTGCTCTTCAATTGTAATTTCTTGTTTGATTAATAAGAAATTAACTGTGTGGCTCCCGAGGACGTAGGCAGTTACCAAACCTCGTTAAATCTTGTGTATTGTTCTCTATTCTGCGTTTCTGTTGCATTAGGGATTTCGGCGTTAAATTACTAACACTCGTCATTGGTGAACTCTCCAACGCTGGCGACTCCACCTCCCCTCTCCCCCTCTCTTCTCTCTCTCTCTCTCTCTCTCTCTCTCTCTCTAGTTAGGGTAAAATTTTGGGATTTAATTAATTTGATTAATAATTTAATTACAATTGAGTTGACTTAATAATTGGAGGTTTTATCTTGAAAGTGTCACCGTGTGAGGGCATGTTGGAAAATTTGAGTTTAGTGTGACCAAAAAAAGTTCATGGAAATTTTGATGAAGTGTGGTATATTTCTGTTGTTTTGAAGTTTGTAGAATTTATCTCTGATAAAAGTAGTTTATCGTATTTTGTGCAAAACCTAATATTTCAAGAAAGTTTTTCTAAATCAACAGAATTACAACTACAGTTTAACAAAATCATTTGTTAATGCTTCACAATAACATCTAGCAGAAGAAAAAGCACTAAAATCATCACTCACAGCGGGCAAACGGAGCTCCAACTCATCACCCTCACCCACAGCCCTTAACTCCAGCGGCCCTTCAATCTCCAATCCCCCAACCTCAGATCCCAAATCCTCCCCAAAATCCCAACCAAAATCAGAATCCGGCCCAAACGCTCCCATATCCCTCTCCACCCTCCTCCAGT